CTTCACCTCAACCCAAGCCACTCACATTGGAAACACTTCTAAAACCAAAACCTAGGCTGAATGTTGATCATTTATTTACAAGTTTTATGAAAGAAATAGAGATGCATTTAGGCTCTGTTCAGAGGAAGTGCTTATCAACAATGGATGCAAAGGAATCTGATGCTATTTGGAATAGCTTCATCAACAGATTCAATATTGTAGCATCAAATCTGAAGAATGTATGTTCTGATGATGTGAAGCTCAGATTTGCTGAGACTGCTAGAAGTTTGCTCTGGACTGTTAAAAGATCTGCACCATTGCTTCTTGAAGATGCTCCTTCATCCTCTGAAGTATGTGATACAGAAGTGAATGTTGAATCTGCATCTGAAGAAAACCCTCTAGCTATGACTCTTGTCGAACATCCCTCTGGATCTTAGCTCCTGACTCTGCATCTCCTATGGAAATTGACTCTGTTCCTGCTTCAGAATCTGCCCCACCTTCTTCATCTGAGATCAAGAAAGAAAATCCAGATCTTGAAGATAAGATTGCAGTTCTGGAAGCTGGTCAATCTGAGATTAAGTCATGGATGGCCAAGCAAGATAAGAATTCTGAAGACATGGCTCAATGGATGTCCAAACAAGATCAGAAGAATGAAACCATGGCTAAGTGGATGTCAAAGCAAGAACAGTCCTCATCTGAGATCACTAACCTGTTGAAGATGATTTTGTCCAAACAAACTTAGTTTATTTTCTTTCTGTTGTTTGTGCATCTGTACTTGCTGTTTATCTGATGTTTTGTATCTTTTGATCTATATGAATGAATGACTCAATGTTTTCTCTACTTGATTTATCTTTTCTGTATTTCCTTTTATTTGTCTTTGAAAGTTTTTTTTTACTTTTTGATTATGACAAAAAAGGGGGAGAAAATAGATCTGACTGTTTAAAATAAACTCTACCTAAATAAAACTTCAGACATATCAATTCTAACTAACGTAAACTCTTAGTGTTTCAGAACGTTTGATAAATCTTACATAACTCTAAGACTTCCAGATAATATTTTACTTATCAGACTTTGACTCTGAAACATGCAAGATTGAATGAATTTTTAGAACATTCAGGCCCTGATTCTGAAAGGAATACTCATGCAAAAAGGGAAGTTTCTATTTCTTCTTAGTATTCAATTCAGGGGGAGATTCATCATCTTAGGGGGAGTTATAATTATTTTCTTTACTATTGAACAAAATTTCTGATGTTTTTGTCATCATCAAAAAGGGGGAGATTGTTAGAACACATATTGGTTTTTAATAATATCTCTATGTTTTGATGATAACTATTATGAAATTTTGTATTAAAGAATTATATACTCTTAAAATTTGCTTAAGAATGTTTGCTTCAGATGTTAAAATGAATATCACTCCAGAAGCCAAATTAGATCTGAACATAAGAAATATGCAAGGCTCTGAGGCGTCAGAAGCATCTCTTAGAAGATTCAGAATGCTGCCTCCAGAAGATTCTGAGCGCCGCCTCCAGAAGAATCTGAAGCAGAAGCTACAGAAGAATCTGAAGTAGAAGCTACAGAAGAATCTGAAGCAATGAAGAATTCTGTATGAAGAGTTTTCAAGCACAGTTACTTCAGAAGACTCTGATAGTACTAACGCTGCCAGTACTGAGGATCTGACCCAAAACTCTGCTCTGAACATATACACGTTGAAAGCACACTTGCTGTAAAGACTCTGATTCACCAAACTCTGATGAACATCAGAAGGCTCTTACCAATTTAGACTCTGATGATTCTTGCTGAAAATTGTTGAAGAAGAATTCAAAGATTATGTCCGTTGGAATAACCAAACGACTCTTTCCTTATTTATGCTAGACACAAGAACACAGACAAAAAGGATTTCTCTGTGCATTCTTCTTCTAGGAAAGGTCACATGATGTGAAGACAAAAAGGCTCAGACCTTTTTGGTACACTATTCTCAACGTGAAAAGCTCTTGGATCACCGTGCCTATAAAAGCAAGTCTCCATTCATCTTCTTCAGTTGACGGAAATACTTGAAAAGAATTCATAACTAAGCTCTCATACAACTCATACATTCTTGCTAGAATTATTTCATTATTCTTCATCTTAAGTGAAAAATCACAGTTGTGATAAAGCTTTATTAGAAGTATTTTAACACTTGTATTTATTATTACATTTGATTGTAAGAGAACCTTAAGAAGATCCAGTTAGGATCAGTAGTTCTTGAGAAGACTTTGAACAGTTATTCTTAGTGCTTACTATTGTAATCGGTTGATTAAATAGTGGATTAAGTCATTGTTTGAGAAAGGCAAATCACTCTAGATTGGGTGGACTAGAGTAGTTGAGTTCAACGAATCAGGATAAAAATCCTTGAGTTTTTATTTCTAAGTTTTATCTTCATACTTATTCAACCCCCCTTCTAATTATTTTCTCACCTTCAGTTTTTTCCTGATGCGGTTCAGATGATTCTTAGCGTCAAAATCACCTAAACCGCATCGCAAACACCTCTATGTACTATAATACTCTACTCATATTCTTCTCATTGTCATCCATAATTCTGACCATTTAACAATGTTAAAAACACTTTTGTTTTAATTTTTAAAAAATAATAATTATGCTATTACATATTTTTGTTTAAAAAAATTATGAATATATATTTTTTAAATTAAAAGAAATTAATTTAAATAATTATTTTTTAGACTTTTCTTTAATATTTCAACTTTTTATTATAATTTTATTAAAATTTTATAAAATTACTTAAACTTGACTCTATTTTAAATAACTTTTCATAAAATTATATTTCAATATTTAACAATGTATATTTATTTCATAGATATCAAAATTAATTTTTTAATTTTTAATTAATTTTAATATTTGAAAAATAGAAAAATCATTTTTTAATAAAAAAATAAAAATAAAACAAATGGATATTAAATCTCTTGAATCGAATTTTCTTTTGCCTTAAGAAATTAGTCTCTGAATATACACTTTTAATAATTTAATAAATAAATATTTATAGTTGCTTAAGGTTGCATTTAACACTTAACATTATCTTGTATTAATTACATTAATCAACTATACTATAGTTGAGTGTGATTTGGTGAATATTATTGTGTGTGGTACTACCTACCTTTGAATATTTCCCTTACTTCTTGGGAAAATGTATATACAGAACAGAAGTGGTAAACCATAAAGAAGACAAGAGATAAAAAAAACATTTTGTGCTTAGACAAATTCAGCACACACTGCAACATTGTACAAACCTTATCTCCTTTCTCACACCACTGCTTCTCCTCTTAAGTGCTTTTTGTTGCTTTATCAATCTCAGCCGAACACAAATTTGTCTCTCAAAACTAATTCTTGTCTCTTTCTTCTCCCTTCTCTGACACACCCTTAACACTTGTTTTTTATTCCTTTTAAAAAAATTGTTAAATAAGCTGTTTATTTTGTTTGTTTTCAAAGAATATAATAACATAGAGGGAACATCAATGTGAGTGATTGTACTGATTCTTTCTTATCTACTCTACTCTCACTCCGATCCAAAAATTTCTTGGCATTGCACACTTCATAGTTCTTTGACCAGTCTTCTGATTCTGCATAGTCTAAATGCCTCAAAATTTATTGAATTGGTCTTTTTGTTGCCTCACAGACACAGTGGGGCAATCTCATCAGATATCTTATTTTTAAATCTTAAATTTGAGACCAATATACCGAATACAAAATTTTATTTTATTTTTATAATTTTTTATTTTATTTTTGTTTTAGATTAAAATTTTATTACGATTTTTTTCTGTTTTAAACTAAAAATTTATTCGATTGTTTTTTAAAAATTTAAATTTTTCTGAGGTGTCCGTCAAGGTTATATTTCATTTTAATAAAATAAAATAAAAATTTCTTTGGTTGTATTTCAAAATTTAATCAAACAGTAAAAGTGTTTTGTTTTATATTTTAACCCTTGTTAATCCTTCATAATTCTGACTATGTCAAACATTAATATTTTTTAAATCATTAATTCTGTAATTTAAGTTTATTGAATAATAAATATATTTAATACGTCTAAACATATGAATATTTATTGGTATCGCGTTCTCAGCAGTGTGAATGTAAAGACGTAGAAGAATGTGTGAAAATTGAATTTGCATTATAGGTTGCTACTGCTAGAAAACAGTTGGAAATGGAATTGTATTACATTTTTTGTGTTGATGAATTAATTTGTTGAAGAAAGCATGTTTAAGCTTAGAATTAGTTTAGTTCCTTGATTTAGTGACAGAATCTAACACAAACAACTATTTGTACTAAATAAACTTTCAGAAAAAGAGAATTTAAGGTCATTATGAGTGCTTAAAGAGGCTAATCAATAAGTGGTAGAAAATAATTGGTGACAAATTTCTTTTCCAGAATAGTCCTCCTATTCACTCGGTGAAACAGGATAATTTTGCTTTTTTTAAAACTTTATATAATTAACTTAGTTATGATTTGTTTGTTAGATATTACTGTAGTATAATAGTGGAATTGTTATGGAAAAAAAGTTGTTATGCTTTTTCTCAAAAAATAATAGAAAAAGAAAGGTGTTAAGAAGTGATGTCTTTTGTTGTTTCCTTTATACACGAAATAAGCCACATGAGACTTGACAAAACCAATAGATCATGATGGTACTATAAAGTTAATAAATAATTAGTAATAATAAAAATTCTAATTTTACTGGATAATTATAATGATAATATAACAATAATAATAATTAAAAAGAAAGACAAAAGAACTTTCTTTCAAACAGAAATTGCTTTTTACACTGACTAGGTTCACTTCACTATGCAACAAGTTACTAACAACAACAAAAGAAGTTTTTAGACATGGAAATTAACCTAAAAAAAAGTGATTAAATTTTCTTCTTCTTCTCCTCCCTAACATAATGGCCTTAAAAAACAGTTCAGAACGGCTATGAAAAGCTACTAAGTACCAACCACATTAATATAATAATGTAGCTTATTATAATAATTCAATTTTCAATTCTGATTGATCCATTGTTTGTGACCAGGAACCCATTTTGGACACTTGGGACTAAAGTAACTTGACATTACCTTTGAGTTCAAGAGTTCAACAACAGGGACAAACTTCACACACCTTGGTGTCTTGTACTGATTAATTGAAGCACCTAAACTAATGGCATAATCCATTAGTTTATCAAAGGTGCCCTGTTCCACGATCTTTATCTCGAGCGGACCAATCGATTTGTCCGAGACGCGGCCCTGTCGATACACGCTGTTTAGTGACTCTTCAATTGTTAAGCAGCAATCTTCAAAAACAGAAGGTGGAATTGGTTTTGATTTGTTCAGTGTGAGTTCCCAGTATAGCACATAGTGTCCTGGAATTGTTGTTGTGTCTGCATAGCTTGTGTATTCCGACACCGTTGCGCTGAATGGTACTAAATGTGTCACAGCATTTGCCATTGCATTCTGAAGCTCAACCTCATCGGTTTTGTCTGAATCAATGCTCAATACAACGTTTTTTCTGCATACAAAGTTGAACTGTGGTGCTTTGTTCTTGAATCCAGCTACTTTCAGCACATCACCAACTCTATAACGGTATAGCCCTAAAAGAAGAAAAAAATGATAATTCATCTCATGTTCTATTGCAAATCAGTTTCATAAACATATCAAAATCATAACATATAATATTATAAAATACAACAGTTAAGATGAAATTAAAAGTCTTACCAGCATAAGTAGTGACAACAAGTTCATATTCTTGACCGAGTTTGACATCAACAAGCTCGACGAGCTCTTTCTGTTCTTTCTCGTTAAGGGATCTAGGTGTGTGAAGAGAATCAGTGACACCATTGGTTCTATTAACAGGCAAAAACTCATAGTAACACATGGTGGGAATAAGTGTATAAGCCACTTCTCTAGGTTTACAAAGAGGGTTAAGATTAACACCAAAGTAACATTCGCTCGAAGCATACATAGTGCAAACAAGTGGTAAACCATTGCTATAATGATCCAAAATAGGAATATACTGTGACATTGTTCCTGTCACAATAACATCCACATACTTAGTATTAGGCCACAACCTAGTAATAATCCCCTGCCAAGAACTCTTACTACACTCAGTTTGAATAAAATCAGCAAGCTTAGGATCGGGTTTAAGAATTTTCATGACAGAATCTCTCACTGTTATGTCAGTAATTAAGGAGTTAACAGTTCCTGTTCTAATATCATTTGCAAGAAGGGTCCAGTGTTTTTCAAGAAACCTAATAGCCCTTATGAAACCAGAGGCAAAAACAGCACCAACCCTTAGAACCTCTTTGTTTTGGCAAAGACCACAAAGGAGTTGAGAATACATGCTTTGATATGAATCAGGACAGAGCACAGTTTCATTTGGGCTTGTGTAGTTTGTGTAAGGGTCATAGGGTCTATCTCTAAAATAAGAACTTTTGTAGTAGCTTGTTAAAACAGGCCTAGCTACAATTCCACCAGGTGTTGTAGCCTCAGATTTTATAAACATTAGGTACATTCCTTTCCCTTTTTCTAATCCAGGAACAAACTGACTCATCACTGGCATCAATAAACTATACAACAAACTTCTCCTTCCTAACTCCTCTTCAATTGTTGGCATAAGTTTTCTCTCACCACCAGATGTACCAGAACTGCAACCAAAACAAAAACAACTTCATCACTACATGTTACAAATTAAGAGATATTTCTATTAACTTGTTATATGTATCTTAGAGAGAAAGAGAGAAAGACGGACCTTGTGAGAAACTCTGAAATGGGTTTGGAGCAAAGGATGGGAGAGGTGTCACCATTTGCGATGCGTTCGATATCGGGTTGAATATCTTCGTATGAGATAACAGGTATGAGTTTTTTGAAGGTGTCACGGTTTGTGTTACCATTGAGATTGTACCGTTTGAGATACTCAACGTTTGCATTGCGAGAGAGGATTTCTGAGAGGACTTGTTCTTGGACATGGTCGGGTTTTGAGGTAACATCCTCAATGAAGTCGAGGATTTTTTTGTTCTGTTCAACAAGGTTGTAGTCTCTAGGTGCTTCAGGCATGGTTGTGTTGTTGTGAAATGTGTGTTTTTGTTTTGTTGTGTGAGAGAAAGACAGAGATGAATTTAAGTATAGAAAACTTGTTGAGATGAGAAGGAAGGGATGAAGAAAGAGTTTGTTGGGCGTGAGTTGAAAACATGAGAGATGATGTATATATAGAGGCACAAGCACATGTCAAGCTGGGTTTGTTTTGTCATTTGGGATAAGAGAGTAAATGCATGATCAAAATGGAGGGTGAAATTGGAAATATAAAACCTTTTTTATGTCAACTTTTTGTGTTGTTATTTTTTATAATATCTAAACATTAAAATTGTATATTGTCAAACCATACACAACTTCCATGCATTTATGGTCAGGCTAGCTACATGCTCCTCACCAAGTCAAGCAACACTTTTCTTTAACTACTAACAAATTCATACACATTAAATCTTTCAACAGATTACATATTTTGTGGAGTATTTTATCATATTAGTTGTATTTTGTCAAATAAGACTTTGAAATATTTTTAAAGCACTTCGATATAAGTCATTTTTTTAATTTAATTAAAGCATTTGTGTTAAATTCTCGATCATCGTAGTTTTTTCAAATATGAATAATTTTTCGAAGAGAAAATTTAATATTTATTGAGATCCTCTCTGTCTCAAATAATTATTCATAATTATTCTATATGGTTTGCCCGTAGTTTTTTATAAAAAAAATTAATACTTTGATATTGTTAAAAATAAAAAATAAGAGTTTCAAACCTCATTATGTAAAAATAGAATTTTATCTTTTAAATATATTATAAAATTATTTTAAAAAATATATAAACTTATTAGATATAATTTAAGAAAGAGCTAAAATTATTTTAAATAATATATATACAAAAAATTAGATTTAAAAATTTGATACTAAAAGGGAAATGTATTTTAGGAGATAATATATACACTCTCTCAATTGGAAATGATTTGGCATATTGTTTAATCATGAATGACCATGGTGACATATTAGAAAGATTAATAGATAAAATGGAATATACATGTACAACATAAAAAATTGCTTGGAGTCACATCGAATTGCTTTTCTAGTTGTATTATCAAAATGTTAAATCAAGCCTATGTCATATATATAAACCAAAATATTGTTGCACACCTCTTCAAAGATTGGTTAGATGTAGTTAATTATTTTTTAAGGTAATAATTGTCAACAAAAAATTAATAAAATGAAAACTATAATTATGTTTTCTAAATTATCTTTGTTGCTATAAATAATATTTTTGAAGAAAAAAAATCAATTTAAGTTAATTCATGGGAATTTTCAGAATAAAATAGAACACTAGTAGTGGAATAATGACAATCCTATATCCTCTTGTCCCATATTGGATTGGCCAAATTCTAATTCAACAGCTTCATGAAAATCCCATGAACCAACCTATCAAAATATAGGTATTCTTTAAGATAATAGAAATAATAGTCAAAATCATTACTTAGATGAGGAAAAGTTATAGAAAACACTTAATGTAAAGCAAAAGTGATTTGAAATAGCAAAGGATAGATACTTTCTTATATTTATTATGTTTGAGTTTCTCATATATATATATATATATATATATATATATATATATATATATATATATATATATATATATATATATATATATATATATATATATATATATATATATATATATATATATATATATATATATATATATATATATATATATATATATATATATATATATATATATATATATATATATATATATATATATATATATATATATATATATATATATATATATATATATATATATATATATATATATATATATATATATATATATATATTTCACGCACTTGTTTATTAGATAAGTCTCTTTTTATCAAACATGTTGTTTTTGTTTAGGAATGATCACCGACTATAGGGAGCAGGGATATGACGTACCCCCATTCCATAAAGAAATAGGTCATTTGACTACGTTCTCGAAAATAGTGGTGGGTTAATTTTCTACTCTCCCATCTTCTTAATAATAGTTGCAATATTCAATGGGCTAAGGATACAAGCTCGAGACTACTATAAATGTCCCAACAATGGAGTTGAGAAGGACAATCACATTCTAATACAAAAATCACTGATATTGAGCTTCACCCCCTACGTGAGCTAGCTCTCAACCCCTCAACATACCTTAAAATTAGGGACATTCCTTAATCATTAGGGATTATCACATATTATACTATTTATCAAGTACAACTGGTGCCCACTATGGGGCCTATTAAAACTGAACTAGGACACACTCATTGTTGCTCAACATAGCCTTAAATATGAAAGGAACATGTTTTCATGGGCGCCTCCCCCGATCTAAATGCTTGCAGCAATGAAGCAAGCTAGGACCCTAGGTTCGTGGTAGAAAATGAATGGATTACCCCAATAGAAAATGACTTGAAAAAGGTCAAGATTGGCCCTCTTGAACTACCAAGTTACAAAGTCTGGCACCTGCTTGTCTGAATATGATGAAGAAGAGTTGGTTACCATGCTTATAAGGGACTTTGACTTGTTCTCCTAGGCACCTTCACATATGTCAGGCATAGATACCATAATGGTATGCCATTGCATCATCGTTTACCCTACTATTAAATCGGTATCTCAAAAGAAGCGCGAGGTTGGCGAGGAAAAAATGGCAACTATTGATGAGTAAGTGTTAAAACTAACATGCACTAACTTCATAACAAAGGTAAAATACCTGTCATGTCTAGCTGACATGGTCTTGGTGAAGAAAGCATAAACAAATTGCATGTGTGCGTAGATTTCACTGACCTTAATGTTGTATGCCGAAAAGATCTTTATTTTTTACCTAATATAGATTGTCTGATTGACAGGTCTTCAGGCTAAAAATACTTGTTTCATGGACGCCTACTCTAGATACAACCAAATTAATATAGACCTCTTGGATGCTCCCAAGACACTGGTCGCGACTTTGCGTATTGGTCGGATTACTACTGCAAGTATACAATTTATTGCGTAGTTTTAAAAGATTATCGAACCCACAAGGACTAATAATCAACCTAGAGTGATCAATTGTTGCGGTGCAAAGCTAAGACTTGATTTTTGCGATAAAAAGACTCAATTATAACGATATTTGAAAAAGATAAAGAAACGGGTCCGAAGAATGATCTACGTGCTCCTAAGGGACTCTGTAGATCTCAGGTGTTAACAAAGAACTCAAAGTTATTATGTAGGAAAAGCTGGTTTAAAGATTCAATCTCACACTCTGGCGCTATTGACCCAACCACACCTGATAACCCCAAGATTTTGCTCTCGCTCGCTTGGTAGTTAAAAGGCATACTTTGAAAACTAACAAAGCCTAACTGAAACCTAAAGCACTCTCGTTGTGTTTAGGCTCAGTGCTCGGTATCTACTATCTGGCGATCACCTCAAAATTTCACTCTATCAGAACGCCTTGATGTGCTTCTCACTCTCGTGATAAAATATTGTTAACCAGCCACTCGCTCCCGTGACAAGACTGACTAAATTCATAATAGTAACCAGAACCGGAATTAAAACGACTAAGTTAAACACCGAAGGTTTCTACAAAGTCTCGTCGGGGCGACGATACTCAGACTACTGACTCCGACGAAACTACTCAGACATATTCATCTTTAAATCTAAAGTACTTAACATGCTGTAAATTAAAACACACATAATCGCAAGTAATAAAAAATAAAGAATTGCAGTAAAACGGAAATTTAAACGACCTGAGATAAATCGAAATAAAAATGGCTTCAAATAAATTTCAATATTGATCCAAGCGTACAATCAGCAACAGAAGTAAAAATACAACGGTGCAACAATCACTCAGTATGAGCAATTACTGCTTTGGTAAGTGAGTATGTAGGTAATGTCTGAGGAAATTTCTGCAGCGCTTCCGCATGGGTTCCTTGGATTCCTAAAAATGACCTACAAGGGTCTATATATAGAGGGGAACTGGCTCCAAGGCTTTTGAATTCAAATACCATCAGAACTGCCAAACTGCTCTGCAAAAACTATTCCCGCGTTGAACGGCGACCGCCGTGTGCCTAATGGCTACCACCATTAGCTTCAAACTGGGATTCCCTCCTTTTCTTGCACGGAGACCGCCTTCCTTAGGCCATGGCGAACGTTATTTCCCTGAGGAGGCCAAGACTTGACTTTTTGAAGGGTTTTCTTCATTGCTTTGCTCGTCTTTCGATCCTTTTCTTCTATGTTGCCGATATAACATCTGTCAAGTAAAAACAGAAGAAAACATAAGTAATCAAAAACTAAAACGATAAAGACTCACTAAAGCAACAGATACAAATGCGCGAAATGAATCAAAAAGTATGATACAAAGTCGAGTCATCAAAATGAATTGTGTTTGAATGATTGATAAAAATGTGCAAGTATGTGTAATTGTATGGTAATTCAAGTGTGATGAATTATTGAAGATATGCATGAATTTTAAGATTAGGGAATGATCTTAATTGCACATGGTTGTGAACTTGCATGCGCATCATTTGTTGTCAAGAAGCAATGCTTGCTAGTTTCGTGGAGACTAATGACTTGTCCCAAACCTAGAGTGGGATTTGAAAGCCTAGGGGACGGGCTTTTGTTTGTTATTGGTCAAGGGGACGGACCCGGTTTAAATGTAAAAACCAAAAAATAATAACAAGTGTTGGTACCACATGGCATGAGTTGCATTGAGTTTGCATCGAGTCGCATGACATATATAATTGTTGTATTAAAGTATGTGTGTGTATATGACTTGTTGAATTGAGGGTTGTGAATGTGTGGTTGTTGAATGATATTGACTGGAAAAAAATTGAAGTGTGAGAATATTGGTGTTGGTGTTGACATGCTTTACATTATTCATTATCTTATGATTTCAATATTGATGTGAACTGTAACACCCTTCTAAACCCCACGGAAAATATAAGCATAATCAGAATTAACATGCATTCACAAAGGGCGTCACACATACACTTCCAAATTACTAAAAAAACCATCTG